AAAAAAATCCAATGCAAGTCTGCCAGAGTGCCAGCAATGGTTGATCTTGTGCAAAAGAGCAGTGAGGGGAACTCTGCTTGCTGCTTAAGGCCTTTATTCTTCATGGTCTCCTTGTTTTGTTAAGCAGTCTTAGGACTGACAACGAAAACTTCGCCACATAATTTTTTTCTTGCTTTCCATTTCCCAACATCTTTCAGTAAGAGCTATTGGTGCTTATAAGTTCAGGATTTCTTTAATTTTAAAAAGGTATTAGGTTTTCAATAAAAGAAGTTCCAATAAAAGGAAATTCATATGCTATTTAATGGATTCCCCCCCCCCCCCCCAAAAAAAAAAAAAGGGAATCCCTATAGATAACAATGCCTTCCCAGTTCTTTAAATATTTACTTGTAGATACCTTAGCTTTGAAGCTAAGCTTTTATATTGTGATCCAAATATGCTGGGAATTATTGCAAAGAGAAACCTGGGTGAGAAAACACAGCTTTAAAGGGTGGCTTTCTTCTGGAAAGCAGCTGTAAAAATGATGTCATTCTTCTCACAGGTTTGATTCTCCTTGTACTCCACTGTATTATGCTAATTGTGGTCCTGAATCAGTGAAGCACTTTTACACAAATCTGTGTACTTTTCTGGGTAGAGAAGGGGTTAATCCTGAGCTAAAATGCTTTTTCAAATCTAGCCCTACATTGCAATTTGGGGGAAAAAGTAGCAAAAGATTCAGCTCTTGTTTGTTCTGCAAAACGACCATGGCTAAGAGAGGAACCTGGGCTTCTGTTCTTTCTTGTTTATCGTCAGTAGATTATTTTACTAAGTTCCAATTGTGCTTATGAAAATCCCTTAAGATGCTCCTATCACTGAAAGTGCAAATTAACTTGCTGGATCTTTTATTCCAGTTAGGGATGCATCAGGAAGAAGAAGCCCAAAGTCAATTCTGGAGGAAGAGCAGTTTTAAAACTCTTGACTTGCAACTAAGCCCACTTTTTTTGAAGTCATTGAGACACAGGGAACGTAATAACACTTACAGTGCCATTTTGACAGTAGGAACGGGTCACCAATGTATATTAGTGTTGATCAGAGTTGAACTGTTAAAATATGGTGAACCATTTAAGAATCAATGTAAGAGGAGGTGTGTGTGTTCTTGGGAAGTCAACAAGAGCCAGAAGAGAGAGAGGCTTACTGGAGGAGCCTGTTCAGAATGCCTAGAGAGGCAGAGGACAAGGAGGAGACTAGAATAACTGGATATTTCAGGAGAGGAGATGGCTAGAAAATGTCTGCAATTGTTAGGGAGGAAGGATTTAGAAAAATAGCATGTCCAAAGAGTAGTCAGGGCAACCCCAAAGGAGGAATAAAGGAAAAGGCCTGACAAAAGCAAAGAATGGAAATTGTTAAAAGATGGAAGCAGCACAAGGGTTGCAAAAATGTGAATGGAAGCACCTTATTTGTTTAGGGCAGGTCTAATGTGTTTAATTGTTTTCCCCATTACCATCACAAAATGCCAGAGGAATCCAGTTCTTACTAGAAGTTATTACAAGAAAACAAAATAGTATTTATAATGACAAAACCTCTGTTTTAATGAGGGAAACTTGTTGCTTTTAACAGAACATTTCCTTGCTAATCAGCATTTAGATATTCCCAGTGGCATATTGCCTATGGTAAATACCGATTTAAAGAGATCTACAGTTGACAGGAATTTTCTTTTAACTGTGTCACAGCGGCTTCAGCTTCTGGGTCTACTGAAGCGTGTTTCGTGCATTTAGCTAATGGTACTGGGATACTGTTTACCAGCTCTGATGCTAGCACCTTGAATTTCACTGTATTGAAGTTATGTTGCATATTGCATTTGAGAAACTGAATAGCTAATGTGTGCATTTAATTTTCTGTAGGGTGGTAAAGCAATCATAAAACCTGTAAGAACTAGTTAACACCATCAAGCTAGAATTTCCTTTGTTTGGGATTTGGCCAATTTCTATTTATCAGAGTCTGAGGAGAGTGTTTTTTCTCTCACAGGTCACGTGGCTTGCCAAAGCTGAAAGAATCTCGTTCCCATGAGTCTTTACTGAGCCCAGGTAGTGCAGTGGAGGCCCTGGATCTTGGGACAGAAGAGAAGGTCTTTGTCAAACCACTTCATAGCAGTATCCTGGGACAAGATTTTTGCTTTGAGGTAACAAGTCATCTGCACAAAATGCAAATTACATGGTATAATATAGCAGTCCGTCAATCTGAAGACCAGCCATGTACTATTTTGTAATTTAATAACTAGGTAAAAAATGAATAGCTCAGACCATACTGAGGTTAGGGTGTGGAGTGTCTAATCATCATGAGAGTCTAGTCCAGGGGCAGGCTATTATTTCGGGTGGAGGGCCGCTTACTGAGTTTTGGCAATCCACCAAGGACTGCGTGACTGGCAGCCAGGGGCAGATAAATATTAATTTTCTAAATTTTTAGGGGCCCCGTGAGCCGGATAGAATGGCTTGACAGGCTGCATTCAGCCTGCAGACCACATTTTGCCCACCCCTTGCTAGTCCTTGGGGCCAGTCAGTTGCTAGGAAGAAATCTTTTCAATTATTCTCTTACTCTTCTACTTAAACATCCTTTATCAAATACATATATGATGTTCATTCAAATGTGGGACTTAACCATTTTTATTTTAAAATAACAGCTCATATTCTCCATGCTCAGTCAAAATTAATTAAAAAAAATACAAACGAACGGAGAAGTACTCATTCAGATAAGGACTCTTTTCTAAGAATGCAGTCACTGGCAGATTACTGAAGGAAAAGCATAAGTAAAGAGAGAGTCCTTTACAGATGCCCTAAAGGTCAAAAACATGAGCTTTGTTGGGTGGTGCAGGGAGTGGACTTTATAGGTTCACTAATCTCCAGCCAAGTTGTCACCCCTCCCATCCTTATATTCATATATGGGGAGGTGTTCCAGAGCATGCCAGCTGATCTTGGTTGCCAAGACAAGATGCTGAGGGAAATGACCTCTAAATTAGTAAAGGTTATAAAAGTTAGCAGGGGGCTACTGAAAGATATATTATACAAGCACATTTTTAAACTGGATAAACTCCTATTTACATGCGTCTAAAGCTGGCTGAATGAACAGCATGTTATTGAGTGTTACGTATAGATATGATCAAGGCCATCATGTAATCAAAATCGCAGCCTGAACCCACGTTGTCTTCAATGGAACTGTACTGAGGTAGATCTAGCCTCATGCCTCCAAACCCCTAAAACAAATATCTCTTTTTGTTGTGTTGAAAACTTTGGTAACAGAAAACCAATGTGTCAGAGTCATTGTCTTAATATTCAGGAACTACTTCAGCTCATTTCAAATAGTATCCCATTGGTTGGAATCACTTTGCAGTCTATTTCAGTCTTCCTTGGTTGAGTGAAGACAGGTGTCAAAACAAATGCAAAGTTTAGCTCTAAAATCTAGCCTTAAACTGGCCATGAGTGGGAGAAATGGGGAGCTATGGCAGGGTCAAAGAAAAATTAAAGCAAAATAAAAATGTTCTATCTTTTTTGGCTGTTTTGCTACAATTGCTTGTAATATGTTCCCAAGCACAGTCTAACTTTTTGGTTGTTTCAGACATTGGGGTGCATACTTCTAAAGTTCCAGAAGAAAACACTTCTCATGACATCTAGCAGAGATTTTTTTATTCATCAATTCTTTTATTTACATAGTACAAGCATAGTACTTTTCTTTTACCTTTCCCTACATGTGTGCTGTAAGTGATCAGGTCATCTGCCTTCGGGGAATTTTACATCTGAAAGCTGCAGATCAGTTAGCATGTGCACAGATTTCAAATTGCTGATTACATCCCTGTTTTACAATCTCTTGAGTATTTTGTTTTTCTGCTGTTCCCTTTGGTTTTGTACCCAATGTGAGCGGAGGTTTTCTTTTTGCTCTCTCTCTGCCTTTCAGACTTGCTTCCTCTTTTTTCCCCATGTTCTTTTGCTGCCTTTTCCACATTTGCTGTCAGTTTGCTCAAAAGCTGCCTTATGTCCTTCACTACTTCTTGTAGTTTGCAGCTTATACCCTTGGTTTGCCTGAACCATATTTACTTGTATGTTCCAGGTAACCTACTCCAGTGGCAGTAAATGTTTCAGTTGTTCCTCTGCAGCAGAGAGAGACAAGTGGATGGAAAACCTACGCAGGACAGTGCAGCCTAATAAGGTAAAAGGAGCAGCAGGAATATTACCACCAGTAAAATGTGGTGGGACTGAATCTTTCCCCAATGACATATGAAACTTTCCCGGAGATATAGACCCATTTAATTAGGTTGGTCAAACTAATATGCTATCTGAGGAGTGAACCATCCATGAACGTACCAAAAGCCACCATGCACCACTTTTACATAACAGTTAGTAGGTTAAACATTTAGTAAGCAGTCTTCTTTCATCTTGGCTTCTGATTCTCATCTCAAAATCTAGCGAGACCAATCAAGGAACTTTCATTGCGAGTTTTACTGACAAGGTACCTAATTGTTGTTTTTGGTTTAGGCTTCTTATAGTACAAAGAAATGGAGCTCCATGTTTCAATAGAGGGGCCAGTATTGGCAACAGAATGATTTCTATGTTGTGTGTTCCCTGAAAGAAAAAAGGTCTTGAGTTACTAAAAATTTACCAAAAAATCACTTTTTTTTTTATCAGTTTGCTAGATTGGTGGTGTTTATTAACCATAGTATTCCAGTAGTTCACAGAGGAAGTGATACTGTTCAATACAGGGGTGACTGGTGCCTCCTGAGTCTGGGGGGGCACAATTTGTGGGCGGGCCTGGGGATGGGCCAAAAGCCCCCTATCCCCCCCCATTCTTCTGGGCCCCGGCTTAGTGCCCCCCCCCCCCATTCGCTGTTGGCCCGTGCAGCAAAAAAACTGCCCCACTTTTGGGGGCCAATCTCAGGGTGGCACATGCCCACCCTACCAATTGCTTGTGGTTTTAATACAAGGAGATTTGAGGAATTTACCACCTTCTAAATGGCTGAACTGCAAGGCAAAATTGTTTTTCTAAATTATTTAAAAAATGGCCTCTCAAAGATGATCAAGTTGGGAGCTATAAAGTACAGCCCCATGTTCCCTGCTTCAAAAGGAAAATGTTCTATTCCTTAGGCTGTGATATCTAAATCAAAGCTGATCTCTTTGTTCTGCTCAGGACAACTGCCGTCGAGCTGAGAATGTGCTCCGCCTCTGGATCATCGAGGCAAAGGACTTGGCCCCCAAGAAGAAATATTTTTGTGAGCTTTGCCTTGATGATACGCTGTTTGCCCGCACCACCAGCAAAACAAAAGCGGACAACATCTTCTGGGGTGAGCACTTTGAGTTCTACAGTCTCCCACCTCTCCACAGCATCACGGTGCACATCTATAAGGATGTGGAGAAGAAGAAGAAAAAAGACAAGAATAATTATGTAGGCCTGGTCAACATCCCCATGGTCAGTGTGACTGGGCGTCAGTTTGTGGAAAAGTGGTATCCAGTCAGCACACCTACCCCCAATAAAGGGAAGTCTGGGGGGCCTTCCATTCGGATCAAGTCTCGATACCAAACCATCACCATCCTGCCTATGGAGCAGTACAAGGAGTTTGCAGAGTTTGTCACCAATAATTACACCATGTTGTGCTCTGTTCTGGAGCCAGTGATCAGCGTGAGGAACAAGGAGGAGATGGCCTGTGCTTTGGTGCACATTCTTCAAAGCACTGGGAGAGCCAAGGTAAGTAATCAGATACAGTGTCTCCATGGGGCTTTTGATAAATGGTTTCTTGTGGATCACTGTAGGCTAGGAAAGCAGCATTTGCATCCTCTTAAATACAGATAAAGATAGAGATAGCTCAAGGATGTACTGGTCTTGGGAATGGCAGTTAAAGGAGGAATGTTACCAGAGAGGAAGTGAAACTAAGAAAAAAAGTGGGTACTTTCAAAGGAACTTAGGCAAATTTTCTACAAAAGGGAGACAATTTTAGATATACTATAAGAACTGAAGGTTTGTAAGTGTGAATGTATTCCAAGGAGTAGACATTGACATTTTAGAGGAAATATATATTACAGGGTACAAAGCATCAGGCTTAAACCTTTCTAGTTTTGCAGAAGGTTAAGTTTTCCACACTAAGCGCACAAGAACCGTTGCCACATTTCTGCAAACATGAGGCACCGTGACTGGTATAGTACCAAGGAGCTCGTGAATAAAGTTTTGTAAGCATGTCTTAAAAACTATAAGCAACAAGGTTATATCTTCCAGGGCTGTGCAAAACGGGCCCTATTCTATTCGGATTCGGTCCAAATCGGGGACAGTGATTCTGTGAATCAGTGATTCAGGCACAGGTTTAAGTTTTTTTCTACATACCTTGAGGTAGCAGCATGGCTTGTGATCACTGTGACGCTAAGGCGGATGGAGCGTTTCCCATGGCAGCGTGGGGGGCTCTCCAGCATGCTCAGCAGTGAACCTGGAAGCGAACTGAAAGTACATCCGGTCCACTTTCAGGTCTCATGGGGAGCATGCTGGGGGACCCCAGGCGCGCCCCCAGACCCAGGAGGCACCAGTCACTGAGCCGAAGGGCATGGGGGGGCCCCCAGTACGCTCCCCCGTGGACCCGGAAGTGCTTCTGGTCCACTTCCAGGTCTGCTGCCAAGCGTGCTGGGGAGCCCTCACTGTGCTTCTGTGGGATACTCCATGCACCCCAGCATTGCAGTGATCACAAGCCCCTGCTACCTAGAAGTATGTGAAAAAAACATTTAAAGCTCTGTCTATGTCCAGATCTCTCCAGATTGATTCAGAGGGTTTCGAATAGATTCGGAGATCAAAGAGTCCTTTGATTCGATTTGGATTCAAAGAGTTGGCCACCAAATTGGGCCGAATCTCCGGTGAATCAAATTGGAGACCGAAGCTTCGCACAGCCCTAACATCTTCACTGTAGAGTTGAATTGAGTGGCTGGAAGCTACGTTAGCCTAGCTTGAGTGGCTAGGCTACTCCATAAAGCCATGTTCAAGTTAGCATCCCCTCACTGGTGCTGCACTTACCTCCATTTGTTGCAAGGACATCTGGGAGCATCTTCTTTAGTTTTCTGTGCTTTAATAAGCTGAGCTGTTCTGATTCTTTCCCAGTGAATTATGAGCGAACCTGGGCATGGAGGCGATTATTGTGGGATGGCATAGAAGGACTTTTTACACTTGAGTGGTTTAGCATTTATCCTTGCTACAGAATGGTTTGCTCATCAGCCAGAGAGAAACTCATACCATGGTCTCTATTATGCCCTCCAGGCAGGTTGAACCCAGGCAAGCTTGGCTGAGAGAGTTCTGTGTGTGGAAGGTGGTTGGGCATCCCCTAGATGACAGCAAAAATGAATGTTACATATGTTTAAATAATCATGCCAATCTGTTTGCCACGCTCCACTTCACAGTACTGTATCTAGCCTTTTTGATGGAGTGTGAGGAGGATGAACACCATACCAAGCACTTGTCTGATCTAGAGCAGATGACAGCTAGGATAGTTCCTGTAGTGCTGCTCTGATAAGACTGGAAGGGAGTCTCCAAACTCCTTCCAAGCCAGCTACAGCAGACAGACAAATTTAGCATTGTACTTCTCTACCTCCCTCATGCTTGTTTTGGGTTTCTTAATTGGCAAAGCTTTACAATTAAGGATGATATAACTTACCTCTCTCAAGAGAACAGGATTTATAGTCACACATCTACTGTTTTGTTGTTACACTTGAATCTGGCTAGTCAAACTGATTTGGGAAAGCTATTGCCAGCTTTTCTATAGAGAGAAAATAGTATGCAAGTAAAAACAAAGCATAGATAATGCAAAACAAAACATCTTGTTTTATGAATGCTGATAATTGCAGCTAGTTATTTGGGACTTGAACTATACTGGTAATGTACTGAGGTATGTCCTGTAAAATAATGGCATTTTAAGGATATCAGATTTTGCTGTAGCACTTTTCTATAATTGTGGGGAGATCTGCACAAAAAAATGTGGCAAATTAGCAAGTTTCTTCTGTATTATTCATTGAGTACTGACAAGAAGTTCAGGGATGTAAAATAACAACAAATTTTTGTCCCTGCCCCAAAGAGATTTCTAGTGTCTGGGTCCAATCCTGCAAGGTATTAACTGCTTCCTGTGAAATCTGTGTCTCCCTAGTTTCCAGTGAAATCAACAGCTGAAGAAGTTGATAGCGATTGCACAAGGGGGCTCTTTATTAGCAGTTGTTGAAACTTACTCCTCATTCTGTGGTTTCATTCCTTATACCAGGGGTGGGTAGAGCCTGGCCCATGGGCTGGATTTGGCTGACAGTGAACTCCTTTTCCCAACAGCTCCTGCCTGCACAGCTGGGGTTGGTTTCCATAGCGACACCAGCAGTAGACACACTGTGATAGCACCAGGCCCAGGTTTCTGTGAAGACTCGCCCCAGCAGTACTGGGAGGCCACGTGGCAGGGTGAGATGCTGCTCCAGGGCCAGGCCAGGATCTTGCAGTGGTGAGAACATGGTCCAAAGCCAGGGCAGAGCTGCAATCTGCAGCCTGCATGCTCTGAGCAGGAGCATCCAGGCAGCGAATCGCAGCTCTGCCCCAGCTCCTGACCATGCTGTCACTGCTGCAAGGAGCCGGGGCAGAGCCACAATCTGCTGTCTGCACACCCCTGCCCAGAGCATACAGGCTGCAGATTGCAGTTCTGTCCTGGCTCGGCCACACTGTCACCACTGCAAGATCCCAGCCTGCCCCTGGAGCAGCTCCCCACCCTGCTGCACACCCTGCCAGCAGTGCTGGGGTCAGTTTCCATGGAAACCCTGGCCTTGCACTATCACAGCATGGTGGCTGCTGCTGGGGTCTCCATGGAAACTGGACCCAGATGCATGGGCAGGGGCTACTGGGAAATGAAGTCTGGCCACAAGCTGAGTCTTCCATTTTGCCTACCCCTGTCTTAGACTGAGCACATGAATGTTGTTTAACACCATGCCAGATCAATGCACAATAGGACTGCTGTTTCTCCAATTCCTACCTTTAATTTGCTCCTGCTTTTCACTTTTGAAAATCTGTCTCTTTAATGAAATTTTCCCACTTAATAGAAAATTTGAATATGCTTTCCTCTTTGTTCGTATGGGTTCAAATAGTAGGGAAACATCCAGTTCCTATCTGAAACATATATAATTAAAACATGACTATAAGAAGCCCACTGTCAGACATGAAGCAAAGACTGCCAGAATCTGGCCCAACCAAATGTTAAAGCTTGGTTACAAGGACTTTTCATTCAAGGTTTGGTTCTCCTATTCTAATTTTATCCCATAATCCCTAGCTGCTGTTTCCCTTTTCCAGTGGAGTCCAAAAAAATGAGATGGGGACCTTTGCTGTCCTAGACAATCTAATGCACAGATGCAAGAGGTACTCAAGCTAATCCATATGGTCCACATGGCTATAGTATTACCATGCCTTTCCTCCCAGGCAGGCACATTTCAGTAATCTTCTCATTCCTCAGTCTGGAGTACAGGATTTTTAACCCTTGCTATCTGTCATGCTTTTGCTGTTTAAAACTATGCTATGCTGTTTTTTGGTTTAAATGTCGTCTTTCTGCTTTACTTTTTCCCTGCAGGACTTTTTGACAGACCTGGTGATGTCAGAGGTAGATCGTTGTGGGGAGCATGACGTCTTGATCTTCAGGGAGAACACACTTGCTACCAAAGCCATTGAAGAGTACTTAAAACTAGTAGGCCAAAAGTATCTTCATGATGCACTAGGTAAGAAAGTATCAAGCACCTTATTTTCTTCATGTCTCAGAAGCTAATGGACAAATACTGCACCAGCAGGCAGTCAAGTAATTGGTGCGACTCTGGGTGTGTCACTGGGGCCATAGATAGAGCATCTGTTTCATTATAAACGTTGTTTCATTATAAACGTTGGTCTTTTGCTGTAGTTCCCCCGCTTTGTGGGATCCATAGCCCCATTTTACGTGGCAGATCTGCTGTCAACACCCATACAGAGGCAAATATGGAATCTTCCCCAGGAGGATTTGTAGCCTACAAGAAAAGAAACTCCTTTGTGTGGACTCCTGAAATCCTACTCCCACACTATATGCACTAGAACCTAATTGGTTCTACCATGTCTTGAAACAAAGACCAAAAGGGACCTTCTATGTCATCAAGTCCGGCTCCCTTCAACTGCAGTAACCATATCTATGTATGCAGCTCCCAGGCAGTTTAAATGCAGTTCCTGAGGAAAAGGGAAATAGAGAAAGTGTGAAGAATGCCTGTTTTTTATTTATCTGTTTGTTCTGTTTTTTTCCGATTTTCATTTTCTGCAGTTTTTACTCAAATGACTTGTTAGAATAAATAATGATGGCAAATTATCATTTAAGCTGGGACACTTTTCACAGATCATTGGCTCTGGGGCCTGCGCATCTCAGAAGTTTTGTGTACTGCTGCTCTTGGCCATGTTGATTTTGGTTTGCAGATAGGAGGCTTAGGAAGTTTGGCCACGTGTCATAGGCCCTTTTTGCCCAGGGAAAGCATAGATAAGGTTTTTTTCCTAAGGGATCTGCAACATTTGAAAAGGAAATGCTTACTGGAGACAGCTGAGAGGGATTCTCAGTCCTCCACGCTCTGCATTTTTTAGGTATCCTGTTTTTCTCTATTTCTCTTGTTGATTTAAATGTCATATTTTCATTATGATTCATTGATAGCCATGAATCATTCCATCTGGTGTATGAATAGGGATAAAAAAGGATTCTGCTAATCTAACCACCTGGAAAGATGCTGACAGTTTACTGCTGTGCTTCTTGATACTGGTGGTGAATCCCAGGTGTGTAAGCTGAAACTACAAGAAAGGATCAGAAACACAACATTTGGATCTTCATAACCCATCTGAGGGATGGAAAGAAGGAGATGGTATTTTAAAGATGTTCCCTAGAACAGAGCAACCCAAACTCCTACCTGAAAGCTTTTATGCACCCAGGGGCATCAAACACAAGGCAGGGTTAATTATCTGTAGGATTTTATTGCTGGGCATCTGTTGCTAACACCTCCGAATGAGCTGCTCCTATTTACTGATCAAAGGAGATAAAGCCCAAGCTAGCATTTACAACTGTGTGTATGCATTACATTACAAGGAAGATTTGTCACTTTGCATCTTATTGGGTACAACCATTGCACTCCTGGAAGATTTCCAGTGTGATCTTCTGAGTTATAAACTTTGGGCATGGGCCCTGCCTTACAGCAATTAATTTGTGGATACCCACATTAACCTTCTAGAACTGTACCGGGTCCAAATACAAATAGTTAGCATTGCATGCAGACAGCTAGAGTGAACAAAGCAGTGAGGCTAGTGAGCATTATGCACCATGAGTGCACAATACAACTTATTTTGGTAGCCCCATAAGAAGGCCTGCCTTTAGTGTTCTTCACTAATGGAAAGGAATATGATGAATTCTTATCAAATCCCTTGTCTGATCCTGCATGCCCAACTCTTGTGCTCAGCTCTCAATTTCCTGCTTCAGTAACCTCTCCCTTTCCAGCAGAGACAGCAGTTTCATGCTGCCTGTCTAGCTACTTACTTGCCTAGAAGTGCTGCCAGCCCTTTACTAGTCCCTCCCTAGCTTCAGGCTTCACTCTTGACATAAACCACTGCCAGATTAGTTAATTATAGTCCCAACAGCTTCTATCCCATCAGTGAGGACTAGAACCACACCCCTTTCCAAATAAACTGACAGTTTCCTTACAAGTCACTGCCAGCTGCAGGCTGGGTCCTCTCTTGCCTAAACTCCCTATATCAGGGGCGAGCAATTATTTTGAGCAGAGGGCTGCTTACTGAGTTTTGGCAAGCCATCGAGGGCCACATGACAGGCAGCCCAGGGCAGATAAATATTAATTTTCTCCATTTTTTAGGGGCCCCATGGGCCAGATAGAATGGCCTGGAAGGCTACATTTTGCCCACCCCTGCCCTATATGAACCACCTATCTGCTGCTGTTTCTTAGCCTAGGGAGGGTATCAAACCTGGTGCAGAAGTCAAGACTGATTTCTCCGTAGAGACCCAGCTCTCTTTTCTAGCACAGTGTCAATGGTTCTGGAAATGCATCAGTTATCAAATGGTTAGGCATATGATTAGATTCACTAGTGTTCTGTGGGCTAATGTAATCAAATTTTGATTACATCTTGGGTGTATTTCTTGTATGTTAAAAATAATGAGCCTGGTTCTGATGACTTCCCTCTGGTTGAATAGAACCAAAAGGCACTGTCCAGCACTAGTAGGAGTAATGGAATCGATCTCTGTATGTGGAAATGAACAGCATATTACTTCATGTCTTGTTTTCCAACATATTCAATTATCTTTTGGTCCAGTCTATTACATTTTACTGTAAGCCTTTTAATGTGCAGTAATTACATAAAGATATTTTTAAATTAATGACTTTTAATACATCATTTAAGACCTCAGTGCTGAATGATAAGATTATAAATCAGAGAAGTTAGAGATGGAAAAGACTTGTTAGGTCATCCAGTCTGTCTCCAGCCCAGGGCAAGGTTGCTCTTGATGACATGTTCTTCTAGAGCAGGCTTGTCCAACATATGGCCCGCCATGCGACCTGTCAAGACATTTTCTGAGGCCCATGGTGCTGTGACAGGAAACGAAAGTAAACACTGCTTACTTTTGTCCCCATCCGTTGTCCCTCCCCCAGCTCCTTGGCAGCTTCCTAATGGCTGCTGAAGGGCTGGGGAAAGGACAAGATTCCCACACACACCGCGTCATCTTGACGTCGCAGATGCGGTGCATGTGGGAAGAGGAGTAGCTATGTGCCGCTCGGGACAGGATGAGCCCAGCCGGAGCAGCAGGGGCTCAGCTGCACTTTCCCCCTACCTGTGCCAGTCAGTCCCGAGCGGCACATGACTCTGCCACTGCCTCTGCTGGCTGGTGCTGACCCGGGTGGGTCTGTCCCATCCAAAGCAGCATGCAGCTGAAGTCGGCTTCCCACGTGCTGCTGGGGATGGGAGGAGGCCGGCCAGGTCAGCACCAGCCAGCAGAGGCAGTGGCAGAGTCATGTGCCGCTCGGGACTGACTGGCACAGGTAGGGGGAAAGTGCAGCTGAGCCCCTGCTGCTCCAGCCAAGCTCCTCCCGTCCCCAGCAGCCTGCGGGAAGCTGGCTTCAGCCGCATGCTGCTCCGGATGGGATGGACGTAGCCGGGTCAGTACTGGCCAGGAAAAGTGGCATGCAGCTAAAGTCAGCTTCCCATGTGCTGCTAGGGACAGGAGGAAGCAGGCCGGGTCCGCACTGGCCAGCAGAAGCAGCGGCACAGCCGTGTGCCACTCGGGATGGGACAGGATGGGACGAGCCCGGCCGGAGCAGCAGGGGCTCAGCTGCATTTTCCCCCTGCCTGCACTGGTCAGTCCTGAGGGGCACACGGCTCTGCTGTCACTTCTGCTGGCTGGTGCTGACCTGACCGGCCTCCTCCTGTTCCCAGCAGCACGTGGGAAGCCAGCACAGAGGGGCCTCGGTAGGTGGGGTCCTGGCATGACCTCTGCTGGGCAAGGTGGCTGGAGCCGGTGTCTGCCAGACCTCACGCTCTAGGCTCACAGCGCTGAGGCCACCAGGGCTGCGTGCACGGGCGGGCAGCCACCATGGTGAGTGGGGCCGTGCAGGTGGGCAAGCAAGGGGCTGCGGTGCAGCGGCCGCCTCACTCCAGCCCCCCTCGGGCAGCGCCGGCTCGTGGGATGGAATTGTGGAGCTATTTATTTCTCCCCTTCAGTCTCTGGGGGAGTAGGTGGCTGGATGCAGAATGGGTCCCTCCTGCCCCTGTCCACCAGCAGCTACCATGAACCTTGCAGTAACAGGTAGGTGCAGTAGGGCTACACAGGCAGGGTCTCTTTAGGCCAGGACAGAGGGTGTTTGAATCTGGCTTGCTGGCCCACTGGGTGATAAAAAGTTCATGATCTGGCCCCACATTCAAAAAGGTTGGACACCGCTGTTCTAGAGCTTTGTCTGATCAAAGTTTTCAGTTCTGTTCAGTTGCAGTCTATATTCATTGTATCAGTTCATTTAACCTCATTGAATTTAATGTTAGATATTAAGTGTAGCTACAAGGATTTTTTTAATACATGATTAAGACCCAACTGTATGCACTGCTGAGAGCACTATTGCAGACACGGTTTGCTTACCCACAAGTGGTGCTGAGAACAAAGAAAATACCGACTTAGAGATTGTATATGCTTCTTTCATATATAATATTTCCACCATTAAAAACATCTTTGGCTTGAGCTGCAGTACTAATTATTGCATCTTATTGTTTTATTCCATGCTATTGAAATTTCTCTTTTCCTTTAATGGGCTATCTTCAGCAGCTGGTGTCAAAGTTCACTGTTGAGCAGAATTTATTACAGTTACATGGCAAACCTTTAATTTTCACCCATAACTCAGCCACCAGCATCAGCAAAAGTTTCTAAACTGACCTAGTTTTCCATGTATAAGAGGCAAGGTTTTTTGTGGGTGATATCTTTTATTGGACCAACAGCATAGTTGGCATGATTGGGATAGACTTAGACAAGCCTTTAGTTGCCACAGTGAGACCTGAGGAAGGGCATTATGTTACCCAAAAGCTTGTCTAAATCTATCCCAACCATGTAGTTGGTCCAGTAAAAGATATCACCTGCAAAAATTCTTGCCTCTTAATTTTTCATGCAACTGTGAACATTTATTCAGGATAACCAAGCATGAAAAGCAAAAAGTAATTGGTGGCTAAGGAACTTAAGAAAATGTATCACTTTTGCTGTTTACAGAACTGTTAGAGTTTTTATGGATAAGCACTGTGGTATGAGCTTGGAAGCAGGAAGATCTGAGGAAATGAAATTAGTTTTTGAATCACTGAAAGAATGAATGGGGATCTTAGCCCAGTTAGTAGCAACAGTATAAAAGAGCACCTGATATGCTAAGAGTATAGGAGAGAATGGAAAATACAGTTACATCACAATTTATCACCAGTGAAAATTCCAGTAGCCAAGAGCTGGAATCCAGTGTCCCATTAGTTTTCTCACTGTGAGAAAAAGGGGACAGAAACTTAAAGTTCTAAAAATAGACAGCTGAGATTTTTGCAAGATGCCAGCATGATGAAATTGTAAAGACTAGGATTATTTCGCCTGGGTTGAATTATTCATGATTGTAAAGGGCAAAGTATAAATGAAGCCATTCCTTTTAGTCTTGTCTCACAATACAACAATGAGGTGACACTCGTGAAATTAAAGGACAGTAAACTTGGAACTAATAAAGATAAGTCATAGTGTCAGATTTATTGTTAGACAAGATCATAGAGAAAAATAACATGGCTTCATTTTTAAGAGGATGGATAATGTTGTGATCACTAATAACATTTGTATGTATGCGAACAGAGATAAGAGTAATGAAATCTCATTCTTCAGGCTCCCAGGTGATTGCCTGTGTGGACCAGAAAGCAGATCCTCCTCTGTTCCTACCCCATGTATGATGTTCCATAGCTGGGCCAGATCTTGACAAGAGCACCAGTAGCCTGATCTGATCTAGCAAATGCTGGCTTATAAAACGGTTACAAGGGGTCATGTCCTCAGCATCTGGTGTCTGGAGCCCATATCGCTGTAGATGCTCAGAGCAGAAAATGCAGTTGCCAAGGGAAGGCATAAGCAAGATTTGAAAATACATCAGGGAGACATTTCTTATAATTATCACTGTTTGTCACCTTCTTTCCTGCTTACAGGGGAGTTTATCAAGGCTTTGTATGAGTCAGATGAGAACTGTGAAGTTGATCCCAGCAAGTGTTCTTCAAGTGAATTAACTGATCATCAGAGCAACCTGAAAATGTGCTGTGAGCTAGCCTTCTGCAAGATTATCAACTCTTACTGGTGAATGCCCATTTTTGTCTCAGCTGTTAGTTGATTTCTTCACTTTAGGAGAGGCAAAAGTACACCCCTTTCTCCTCAAAAATGGGAAAACAGTGGGGAGAACTGGAACAAACACACATCTATAGCTTACAGTAGCTTGTTTCCTGTTGCTCACTACTTGTGACACAGTATTGCAATGTAGACTTCATCCCAATCCAGAGGGATCCTGCCAATGTACCCAGTCCTATATATTGTACCATACTCAGATGTCTCCTGGAATATTTACTATGGCAAGGGCAGAGATTGAATGTTTTTTTTGTTTCTACCAGCTTCTGCTTCTGAGTAGATTGGAATAATAGCTTTTCTATTTCAGGCCACAGGAAATGCAGATAAATTCAGCATATAAGATATTAAGTCTAAGTACAGAAATGAGCAAAATTCAGTATGGTTCTGATTTTTTTCCAAAAACGGTATTTAGTATGGAGGTCATTGGCTGTCTTTCTCTTCTTTCCAGATTTGGTAATAATCAAACTTACTATTTATTTAGATTAGGAATGGATGAATAGTTCAAACCTGTGAATCCAAGTTTGATCTTTATGCCTTTGAACAGGGGGCACTTAACTACTTCAGTTTCCCAAGTGAAAAGACTATTCCGGAGTTAAGTCTAGATACCCAATGGCATCTGCTAGTCTGGAGTATGAAACTGTTTCTCACATCATTGAATTCCTAGTGCCTGACCACCAGTTTAGCCTGTTACATTTTACATCCTTACCATTTTGTTTCTTTATTTAATTTGTTGCAGTGTTTTTCCTCGTGAGCTGAAGGAGGTGTTTGCATCATGGAAGCAGCAATGCTTGAGCCGGGGCAAGCAGGATATCAGCGAACGCCTGATCAGTGCCTCGCTCTTCCTCCGTTTCCTGTGCCCAGCTATCATGTCCCCAAGCCTCTTCAGTCTCATGCAGGAATACCCTGATGACCGCACATCCCGAACACTGACGCTCATTGCTAAAGTCATTCAGAACCTCGCCAATTTTGCTAAGTAGGTGTTTTAGGTCTTTGGCCTAAATCAAGGACCATAAGAACTCTTTGAGGGTGACAGTACCACTGTATGCAACTGTTGCATTTACTTAAAGCTGAATCCTAGGAGAGCTGGCAAAACAAACTTCAGGAAGAGTGGGGAAAGGGGAGGTGCTTTTCTATCCACACAGTCCCTGTCTATATAATTTAAGGCAGACAGTGTTCAGGGTCTTTTGATATGTATGCTGTTGGCCCAATCCTGCTTTCAGTGGAATGATGCTGACATGGGATTACTGTAACAAAGAATAGAATTATATATTTGTATAACCACGTCCATACTTCCATTTTTTATTTCATCTCACTATTACACAAGTTACCCTAAAACTGGTGAACCTTCTTTTTTTCTTTTTAACTGGAGAAACTGGGGAAAGAAAATTATGCAAAGGTCATGCTTCTGGAGACTCCAAAAGGAGTTTTGTGTGTGGGTTTTGAGCCCATTGCCCTGTAGCATGAAGACGAGTGTTAAAACCAAGTTGATTCATGGAAAGCATTAGTATGCTTCTTCATTTATCAGTAGTCTCTCTTTCTGTTTCCCCCAATTTAAGAAGAAAGAGAGAGTCAAGTCTTACAATTATTAAATTCTCTGTTATCCATTGTATTTTGTATAGAAGTCATTGACTGTCTTTCTCTTCTTTCAAGGTTTGGTAATAAAGAAGAGTATATGGCCTTCATGAATGACTTCCTGGAACATGAGTGGGGAGGGATGAAACGCTTCCTGCTGGAGATATCTAACCCAGATACCATCTCAAACACGCCTGGGTTTGAAGGCTACATTGACTTGGGCAGGGAGCTGTCTGTTTTGCACTCCCTCTTATGGGAGGTTGTGTCCCAGCTTGATAAGGTAAAACAGGCTGGAGGACTGGGAGGATGGATCTTGTGATAGTATCATAGCAACTTGAGTACTGGGAAGCATCGAGGGAGCAGCTGAATCATACTTTGTAGAAAACTTTTTAAGTTAGGTAACCCTTTAGAAAGGTATTTGACTGTAGCATTTCATATTTATTCTTCCAGTGATTGATTCCAAATTAGGGCTTTGTACCTGCAAGTCCTTGTGAGGCCTTGAACAAGATGTGCAAAGTGGTTGTGCTCCAGCACAAGAGCAAACACTTGACAGAGACTCAAGTAAGAGTGTGTGTCAAGTATTGCACTCTGTGCAGAGTGCTAGGGAAAAGGAGGGTGGAAAATGAGAACCTCAGCAGAGCTTTTGTCATGCGATGAAGAGATTGGCTGCACATTCCCCACTTTGTCCTTCACTGTCCTGATCCAAAAGCCTAGTGGAGTCACTGGGAGTGTGTTTCTGACTTCAGTGGGCTTTGTATGTTAGGTTTCCCCTGAATTCCCTCTCTGGCATGTATTTTTATCTCATGCTTATACATGCTGCTAGCATTCTGCTCCTGGTCTTTGCAGGTCCAAGCAAATTCTGTAAAAGCTAGCACTGAAAACTCCCAGTTCTAAAATAAAATCAGGCTGTGTCCACTTTGCTACCTACACTATCACCAGCAATAGTGATTATCCATGTTTAGCTAGCAAGTTGGCAGTTGCATCAGGCACAACATGCTCCAGCCTGCCCTTCCTTCACAATTTGGGATCTGTGGTGCCAATACAATACAAACTTGTCAATAAAGAATGTTGACAGGACTCAAACACAGAATCAGAGATGCTGAGTGAGATGTTGCCTCTTCTTTTACAAATGACTATAATCACTTCCCTCACACTTTCAGCATTTAGAAAGTGCATTATACTGCCTACAATCCCAGATACCATTTATAACCTACTATTCAGGTGGGTTTTTTTGAAATTTGGGGAAGTAAGATGGTCTGTGGAAAGCTAATAACTTGTTACTAGTAAGTTGTATAGAAATAACTATTTACTGAATGAGTATTTTCCAGCTGGCATGGGTCAAAAATGTTTGCATTGGTGTGTTCCAGTAATTCTAAATGCCCTTGTGCAGGATGATAAATATATTAGTTTGGTGATGAATTTTGGATTTGGCTGACAATTTCCCCTCCTACATTCACATATTCACAGCATCAGACGCATTTAAAACCATTCCTACAAAGACTGCTTTCCTGGGGTCGCAGGAATGACCGCTTACGCATACATGACCAGATTCTCAGCCAGCGTAGCTCCGGTAAATCCACTGTAGCCATTTCAGTTTATTTCATCTGAGGATCCGGCTTACAGACTTAAACACCTCTGGGGTTACCAGAAGTATAAGCCCCCATTCTTAGGGTACTGAATGACTTCTGGACACTGATGGGATCAGATATGAAAGTAGCTACTGAAAGCTGCTCTGAAAATGTAGATAAATGGAACATGGCTTGAGAGCAGAAGCAGAAGGCAAATATAACATAAAGGCAAAGTACTTTTTGCTGCTTTGTTCTTTCCTCAGTGCAGGTATCAGCATGTTTCAGCAGGCTCTGGGAAAGTGGTTTTGTGGTTCACTAAAATGGGAATTGCAGGTTTAAGTTACATCACTGCTACTTTGCTGTGGGCAGTGATTACACAGGTTGAGAAAAGGGAATAAATTACCTGGAAAATGCTGAAGATTTTAATAAGAAAGGAAAACTTGGGATAACCAAGCAGTCGTATAGAACTTCCCAGAGTAGTCCATTGATTGAATGCCCGGTGGTAGAAAAAACAAAATACCTTTGACAGGAAGGTAGTCTTTGTACAGGGTTGTATTGTGTAATTAAGCCTCCCTTGCCCACTCCTTTCCTTCAATCCCAAGGACCTATAGCAATGTGTAGATCCCACTGTCAGCAGCTGTCCAAAGCAAGCAGAAAATGGGAATAGCAGCCTCCCCCAATAGCACTAGGGATATGATAGAACTGTGCTCTGTGGTCGGCTGCTCCCGTACAAAGTCTTGTGTTCACCAGACTTAATGAAGCACTAGCCAGTGGCTAATGGGAAAAGGTATTGGGATGGAAGTCACTGGTGTTCTCATGCAATTAATTTTATTTTTTAAGTGGAGAAATCTACTTTAGTACCCATCTTTTGATAACAGCTTGGTACAGAAGATGGCATCAGTATAGGATGCCAAAGGAGAAGGCTGATGAAATGGAAACCTCCTCTCCCACATCCCTCTCCGTTCTTTCACGGACTCCCTGAATGCAGCACTCCCTTGTCTGTTGGCATGCATTTCTTCTACCGTATGACCCGTTTTGCCTGGAAAGTTCCTTCCCAGTAGTTGACTCTATAGTCTCTGAATCCTTTTAATTAGTAGTAACTGTAGTTCCTACCTTGACCCCCACCCACTGGATGTAGTTTGCTTTGCATGACAGTTTTGTGTTGGAATGGCAGTAGCTTGGTTTTATTGAGCATGAATTTTATTTTTGGGGGTCAATCCTAATTTCTTTTCTATTTCCTTTTCTTTCCTCAATGTCTGCTGCACCTTGTTTCGTCTCCTTCATTCATCTCGTCGCCGTGGTTACGCTGCTCCGTAACAATGCATTATGGTCCTGCCACACCCACACACAACACACCCACCCTTCTTCCTTCCAACCTCCACCCCTCCGCCTCTGTGCATCGTTATCAAAAAATGGCGGATGTTGCGGTGATTATTATCCAATTAGGGTGAAAATTCCTTCCTACAGGCGACCGTGGCAAAACTGGGACCTCTTCCTCGTATTCTTGCTGACATCACCAAGTCAATGACCAATCCAACACCAATACAGCAGCAGCTGAGGCGTTTCACTGAACACAGCTCTAGTCCAAATGTCAGTGGAAGTCTCTCCTCAGGGCTTCAGAAGATATTTGAGGACCCCACTGATGGGTATGTAACAGCCAAGATTAAAAAAGAATGATGAAGGAAAAAGGGGTGTGGGATATGGGAGGTTGCTAGCTTCTCTTAAGGCGATCCCTGTAAAGTAGTGGTTGGTCACCCAAAATTTCTAGGTAGGTAAGTGTGAGTACTCAGAACAAGTATCTGTATTCGGAAGGACAGTATCGTAGTGAGAGATGCAAGTAGTTATTATTCAGACCTGGTAAGCGTAAGCCAGGACACCGGGACTTTCCTGAAGTCAGTTATTTAGGCTCCTGAAAAACAAACCTTATACCAGCTTCCCATCTGGACCTATAAGCATCACACTAATATTTCATTCTAGAGATTGGATTGCCTTTTCAGTGGTAATGAGACTTCTGTGTTTCAGGAAGAGTGAAAATTAGAACAGCCAAGATAAAACCCTTCTTTGTTTAGTAGGGCATTTCTTACTTTGTAAGGGTTACAATTTGAGACCTCCAGCAAGAAGTCTTGAGGTGACAGAAATGCATGAGGACTTGCTATCTGATGGTTTATGCCTATGCTTTGTGCTACCAAGTGTGAAGTACAGTTTTGATACTTGGAAATGTCTCTTGCATTCTGGACCAACAGCTTTTTACAAATTCTGCAGTCTTAACTTTTCAGGTGAAAAAAACACATGCAACAAAGTCCTGGAAGAGTGGTAAAGGGTTAAATGACAACTGGAATGCTGTTTCAGCTGGAAAATAACAGTATCTGGGGGTGCACAAATCCATGGGAAACAAGTTGTATTTTACTTGTGAGAAAGCAAAAATTAGGCACTACATACTTCAAGCTGCCTTCTAAAAACAAAACAGAACCAAAACCCATGCTTATTAGGGAAGTAGATATTCTGAGGAATATGAAAAGCTTCATAAGAGGAAATAATCTAGTTCTTTCAGACTTTGAGAAAGGAAGGAAGGCTAGGTGAGATAGAAAGGCATCTCTAGGACAGATCTCCTGGGATCTTGGCCAGTTAAAAATTAACCAAATTCCTTTCCACTTCACAGTGACTCACATAAACTGAAATCTCCAACCCAGGAAAATCTAGATGGATACTTTAGGGGCAAAACCTTGCTGTTGGTTCAGCAGGCATCCACCCAGAGCATGACTTATTCAGACAAGGACGAAAGAGAGAGCATACTGCCCAATGGACGTAGCATCTCCCTGATGGACCTTCAGGACCCCCACACAACTCTCAGTGATTCCCCGTCCATCATGCATGATGTGCCTTTGCGTTTGGCTGGTAGCCAGCTCTCCATAACGCAGGTGGCCAACATCAAACAGCTGCGGGAAACTCAGAGCACACCTCAGAGTGCCCCCCAAGTTAGGAGACCTCTGCACCCAGCCTTGAATCAGCAGGGCAGTCTCCAACCTTTGTCCTTCCAGAACCCAGTTTACCATCTTAACAACCCACCTCCACCAATGCCAAAGGCCTCTGTGGACTCCAGCTTGGAGAACTTAAGCACTGCCAGCTCCCGGAGCCAAAGCAACAGTGAAGACTTCAAACTCAGTGGACCCAGCAACAGCAGTATGGAAGACTTCACCAAACGCAGCACACAAAGTGACGACTTTTCCAGGAGGCACACAATGCCAGACAAACCTGTTCCTATTGCTCTTCCCCGCCAGAACAGCACGGGGCAGGCACAGATACGCAAAATGGACCAAGCTGGGCTGGGTGCCAGAGCCAAAGCACCTCAGTCCCTGCCCCATAGTGCTTCCTTACGGAGCACAGGGAGCATATCGGCAGCATCAGGTGCAATGGCGACCGAACCAGTTCAGAATGGGACTCGGTCCCGACAGCAGTCCTCATCATCCAGAGAGAGCCCTGTCCCAAAAGTGAGGGCAATTCAGCGGCAGCAGACACAGCAGGTAGGAGCAAAAGCTTCTACTGAGTATTTTGTAAGTGACCAACTACATTCACAACTTTCCTTTTTATTTAAATGTGAAACGAGATGTGAATTGATATAGGTATTATGAGAGAAGTAAAAAAATAAGGAAACCAAGCAAAAGTATAGTATGCCTTATTGCCTCCAAATGTAAGCTTAAAATTTTTTTCCATGGACCAGCACAATAGAAAATGTAAAAGGCAGAGCAGGGTAGCACCTTTTAAACTAACATGTTCAGAGACGCATCAGCTTTCATAGGCTGTAACCTACTTTGTCAGATGGTAACTAATAGAAATAGTGGAAAGCTTGTTTAAAGAAACAAAATGTGAAAAATTCAAAAAATAAGAAGCCTTGTCCCAAAAGCCAAGATTGCTAACTGACTGTATTTGTCTAATGTGCTGTATTAAACAAAATGCTTAGAATGAGAGCAATTACTAGAGAAGAATATCTTAGAATCTGCAACGGCCCAAACGCTAAATAAATGTAACATTCTTGTCAAATATAAAATGCACATAATTTTCATCACAGACAAAAACCTTCAGTCTGCTCCCCATCAGGTTTGCCAACTCTCAGTAAATTTACTGACTGCCAGTTAAAAAATCAGGCTAAAAATGGCTGTCAGTAAAGTCAGAAAAAAAACTTTAGGCATCAGTAAAAACTTTATGCAGCTGCAGCTTTATTGAAGCTCTCACAAAGAGCGCACAGTAGTAGCACCTGGAGTGCAGCACCCTGCAGGGAGCGTTCTCTCAAATGTGTGCTGCTGCTGCGTCCCAGGCTACCTGTAATACTTCTGAGTTGCAGGTAGGCTTTTTGGGGCTCTGTGCTGAGACTGAGAGGTAGGGGAACCACCGAGGCACAGACTGGAAGTAGACTACTTGAGGGCATCAAGGTGTAGAGTGCAGTCAGGGGCATTGGTGTGGGGATGAGTAGGGGGGTCCTAGTGGTGTGGGGGCAGCATAGTGTAAGACCATAGCTGTAAGTTTGGTTGCAAGTAAAAAGCTTGTCAGTGAAAAAATGTTCCTGGATTGGCAACCCTGCTGCCCACAGAGGTGTTATGTCTTGTGTTGTATCAGATTTGACAATGTAGATTTGCTAAGAGGTTAGACCAGGGGTCAGCGACCCCTGGCGCACACACCAGAGCATGGCATGCAAGACATTATGCTCGGCAGGCAGGTGGCATGGAGCTGGAGGAGCTGGGCATCCCCAAGGAGTATGGTGTGTTCAGCTGTATTGCCTCAGCCTTGCAGGCCACAAAGCTGGATGTGCCATATGTCACTGTACTGGGGCTGGTGGGGCTGCAGCACATGTGATTAGGACAGAGTGGGAGCAGTGCAGCATGGGATCCCCCGCACACACCTGGGTCAGTGAAGGGGCATTACAGAGCATCAAGCCACAGGGGGCAAGGGTGGGGTGGGTAGAAGCTCCAGGTTAGTTGAGGTTTGTTGTGCTTCCCCCAGCCTCTTCCCCACCATGCCCCACCACAGTGGCATGCACCTGCTGCTATGGCAAGGATTGGAACCCTTATGGCTCCTTGCCGTCCTCCGGCTCCTCCACCAACATCTTTAAAGTCCAGGTTGTGGGGGTTTTGGCACTTGGCACAAAATAGAATCATAGAAAGTTAGGGTTGACGGGACCTCAGGAGATCATCTAGTTCAACCCCCTGCTCAAATAAACCATCCCAGCCAAAAGCTTTGTCTAGCTGGGTTTTGAAAACCCCCAAGGATGGAGCTTCCACCACCTCTCTGGGTAACCTGTTCCAGTGTTTTATTACCCTCCTAATGAGAGAATTCTTCCCAATATCTAACCTAAACTTCCCTAGCTTGAAACTGTTGCTCCTTGTTCTCTCATCTGCCATCACTGAGAATAGCCTAGCTCCATCCTCTTGCAATCCTCCCTTCAGGTAGCTGAAGACTACTATTAGGTCTTCTCTCAGTTTCTAAACTAAATAAGCCCAGTTCCCCACATCTTTCCTCATAAGTCATGTCACCCAGCTCCCTCACCATTTGTGTTGCCCTGCGCTAGACTCTCTCCAATTTGTCCACATCCATTTTGTAGTTGGGGGCCCAAAACTGAACACAGTACTCCAGATGTGGCTTCACCAGTGCTGAATAGAGGGAAATAATTACTTCCCTTGATCTACTGGCAACACACCTACCAATGCAGCCCAGTATGCCATGACCCTTCTTGGTAACATGGGCACACTGCTGGCTCATATTCAGCTTATTGTCCACTGTAACCCCCAGGTCCTTTCTGCAGAGTTGCTGCCCAACCAGTCAGCCCCCAGGCTGTACTGGTGCATGGGATTCTTCCATCCTAGGTGCAGGACTTTGCACTTGTCCTTGTTGAACCTCATGAGATTTTTGGCCCAATCCTCCAATTTGTCTAGGTTACTCTGAATCCTAGCCCTACCCTCCAGCGTTTCTACTCCGCCCACCCAGCTTGGTGTGATCAGCAAACTTGCTGAGGGTGCACGCTATGCCATCTTCCAGGTCATTGGTGAAGACATTGAACAGAACTGGCCCCAAGACCGACCCCTGAGGCACTCCACTTGATACCAGATGCCAACTGGACATCAAGCCATTGATTACTACTGTCTGAGACTGATGCTCCAGCCAGCTTTCTATTCACCTTACAGTCCATGCATTGAGCCCATACTTCCGTAGCTTGCCTGTGAGAATGTTGTGGGAGATCGTACCAAAAGCCTTGCTAAAATCAAGGTACACCACATCCACTGGTCTCCCCGCATCCATAGATCCGGTCACTTCATCATAGAAGGCAATCAGGTTGGTCAGGCATGACTTGCCTTTTGATGAATCCATGCTGACTCTTCCTAATCACCCTTTTCTCCTCCAAGTGCTTAAAAAAAAAAAAAAAAAGATTCCTTAAGGATCTGTTCCATGATTTTTCCAGGGACTGAGGTGAGGCTGACTGGTCTGTAGTTCCCTGGATCTTCCTTTTTCCCTTTATTAAACATGGGCACTATGTTTGTCCTTTTCCAGTCATCTGGAACCTCTCCTGATCACCATGAGTTTTCAAAGATGATGGCCAATGGCTCTGCAATCACATCAGCCAACTCCCTCAGGTGCACCCAACCAGCACCCTCGGATGCATCCCATCTGACCCCATGGACTTTTACGCATCCAGCTTTTCTAAACAGTCCCTAACCTGTTCTTTCACCACTGAGGGCTGCTCACCTCCTCCCCAAACTGTGCTGCCTGGTGCAGCAGTCTGGGATCTGCCCTTGCCTGTGAAGACGGAGGCAAAAAAGACATTGAGCACTTTAGCCTTTTCTGCATCCTCTGTCACAAAATGGTACCTACCAACCCCTGGGTTAGACAGTGATTTGTGTAGGATGGTTTGGATAGGGATGAGCCTGCCTCAGGCAGGGGTTTGAACTAGATGACCTATGCAAATTCCTTCCACCTCTGCCTTTGCATGATTCTATGATTTCTGCATCAGCTATATTAAAATAGGAAGAGTTATGCAAACACTTTCTAAAGAGACGTACATTATAGGTACCAAGTTTGGATTTGCAGCATGTTGAAACCGAACAGCTGCAACTGCATAAGGAAGCAGAAAGGAAGACACTACAATTCAGTGAGCACAGCCAAGCCGACCCTGGGGGGGTGTGGGGCCCCCTTAACACTGTGCAAGGCCTTGGGACCTCCACAAAGGGGACGGTCTCTATGCTTCTTCCATGGCATGGGGCTGAGCTGCCAGCTCCAGGCGGGACCCACAGGAGGAGCTGTAGCCCCTCAGCCTGGCTCTGAGGGCCCACTGCAAAGTGTGGGGCCTGGGGTGGTCGCCCTGATTTGCCGTACCCTAAGGACGGCTCTGAGCACAGCTATAATACGCTCATGCTAACCCCTTTCAGTCAGCAGATGAGGTTCCTGCACTCTATGTGGTTGTCTAGGCTTGGGCCCACATCCAGAGCACTCTAGTGCTTTGTCTTGAAGGTCACAAAGGCACAAGTTGGGGATTTGTGGGAAGAGAAAGTACTACTTCTTAAGCTTGCCTTAGACTTCAGTTTTGTTAATGGGGAGTTAGAAGCATTGAAAAATAACACATGCACACCAGCTATATTAGCAGAAGTCCTGGTATGGCTGCTGTTATGCAGGCAAAAAGTATTTTTGCTGGTAAAGCTTTATCAGTAAAGCTGCATCTGCACTAAGTGGATTTGCTGGTGTAGCTCTACTGATATATCTGCGCAGCAGAGCCCTTCACAGTCTGCAAGAGGAAAAGCAGAGCAGTACGCTTATAGTACATAGAAATCCAAGAGCCATCCGGCCTCAGAAATTGCCTCTATGACATCTCGCATTCAGTACAGTAGACCTCTAGCGTGCCATCTGTTTGTGCATACTGAGATCTGAAGTACAGAATCACAAAATTATTAGGCCTTATTATTTGTATGTTAGGAATTTAATCTTAACATATTTGAAGTTTTTTTATTGCATGCAAGTTCCCTATTTTGGGTGTTTATCATATGTTTGGGTAGAGGTGGATTGCTGGTACAGTATCTCTTACCATAATTCCCTGTTGAAATGATCCGCTTTGTTCAAGCTTATTACTGGAAGTGTCGGGGAAAAGAAAAGAACACTTGCTTGAGAGCAGCAGAGTTAAAGGAGGTGTGGGGGGAGAAGGGAAAAGGAAGGGGGAAATTTTTAACAAACTTCTTTAAAAAGAACCCTCCACCACTCTCTCCAACATGCACAAAGACCACTCATGCTTACCACAGGGGATTTATGTGAAATCACAGATTGTCGATGAACTCTCTGAGTTCATAGACAATTTATTAGCCTGTTGCATCTTGAGTGAGTGATTTTGATTCCCCCCCCCCCATTCCCATCAAGAAAGCCGGGTAGCTTTGGTTGCTTTGACATGACACTGTTTAAGTGAAAAGTCTCAGACTTCTTTCTATTAGTTTCAGTACATTGATGCCTACAGCTATGATTGTTTTCAACAGATAGTGCTTTTCCCTTGCAGTTGTAAGTGCTAAAAGTTGGGTTGTTATATCTGCTTGGATTTCTGCTTTCCCTTTCTACACTTCTGTTTTTGCCATAAGAGGTTAGGGGTTTTGCTCCCCCTTAATTTGTACATATCAATTTGCTCTTGTTTTTTCCCACACTCCTAAGAAGCTTCTTGAGCTGTCCTAAGTTCAGTGGCCAAATTCCATTGCATACTTTTAAATGCAAATTTTTACTGTGGAATTCTTTTCTTGGTAAAAAGTTGGGTGAATTCTTTCGGAGTGGTTTTGTGGGCGTTTATAATTATCAGCCTCTTTGTTCTTTTCAAGTTCCATTTGCTTGCAAGCATCAAGCAGGGCCTTTTGTTCAGCTGGGAGAGGTCAACTTCTGCCTTTTGCTTCCATTTTGTGAGAAGATGGGGAATAGAGTTTTCAGTGGAATTTTTGGTGTTGAATAAATTTTCCACTCTGGCATTTTTTTCCCTACAATGTTGTTGCTTGGTACCATCAGTACATTGATTTGTATCTACCTCTTTAACCCTGCCTTTGCTGGCTATCTATTTGGTCTTCAAGCTTATTGCATTTGGATTTTGAAAAAACTCTAATCCTGCAATGTAAAGATTAGCGAGAAGGATAAGCAAGGATGCTGGTAGTGCAGTTTGTTCACCCTGTGCTATCTTATCCTTCCAGGACTACAAAGAATAGTGGATCTGTTTTGTTAAGGATCAAAATCCTTAAGCCCTCCAGCATTTCCCCATGGCTGCAGTATTATTTACCTCTGAGATGAGCTAGCTGGTGGCAGAGCTACCCACAGTTTATGTTCTTTCCTGCTGTCTCTGTCTCACAGCAAATGCTGTCAAGTGAAGAGTCTGTCTGCAGGAGCCTCCTTGTCAAGTTGGGTCACTTCTAATAGCCGTATCAGTCATGCTGCCATCAAGAGGGTTATTAGCCTTTCCACCACACATTTCTCTGTTCAGGCAGAAGGCCTTCATCTCTGTCTAAGCTATAAAATTCTTCCTAATCCTTCCCAAGTTTTCTTGTCTCTGCTTCTATCACTGCCAAGGCTTCTTGTTGCAAGACTCATCACTTCAGTTGAGAATAACTGAACTGCTTACAGACCCAAGGCATTCTTTCTGGCAAGAGCTGGGCCTAACGTGTCTGCAGTGACCCCAAGGACCTTCCACCATGAACAGGAGTAGCTGGTGCTAGAAATTGTTATCAGGATACCTGTCAGTAGGTTGGGCAAACTCTTATTTAAGAGATTATATTTCCCCAGTAAAGCATGCCTTCATGACAGCTAGCCATCAGGATCCCAGTCCAGCCACACATTAACTTCTTAAAAGACTTAAATAAGACAGTGACCTGGAATTCAGTGAACTAAAGCTTAGCAAAGTTAAGCTAGTAAAGTGCCTTTAGGCATTTTGGAAGGAGGAATACAAATGAGAGGTGGTTGATTTGTGTAGATTCATAAATCAGCAGATCTAAACTTGTTGCTGTCTGCTGGAGAATGTTCCACTCTCTGCAAAGACATATTTTTTTAGTTCATCACTATTTTGCTGAGAAATTAAAACAAAATAACTCCTCCAACATAGCCTGTGGTCATTGCTTTTATCAGCCCTGGACAGCTACCATATTCAGTTTGCTGCTGCCATCCAGGCATGATAAATAATGAAATCTGTTCTCCGATCTCTGAATCTATCAATCTGGAAAAGTGTTCTGGCATGTTGTACTCCTAGAAGCAGCTTGGCTGACTTGTTGTGACAGCCAGACACATCCACATGCAAGAGGCCCAGGCATTTGCCATCAATCCCAATGTTTTCTTCTGCTTCAAAAAACCAGCTTGCTGAATAATTTCTTCCCTCTCCTGTGGCAGACCTAATCATCCAAGACCTCAAAATGTTGCACCTACTGCCATCCTCCTCTCCCCATGGCTGGCTTGTGGAATTACACAAGACACATGAAGAACAAGTCATAGAAACTGCTGCGCTAAAACCATCAGCATCCCTTTGCCTGAGTCACAGCAGGGAACTCCAACTCTCAGTGCACTTCTTAGTGTATGGTTGGCCACCACGAGAAAGAAAAGTGTGTCAGATGCTTCACAGCTTTTGTAGAGCCACGTGTCTGGCTATGGTTTCTAGAGGTGCTTTGATCAGCCTTTAGCTCCAGTGAGAAATGAACCCCAGGAGTTTCCATGTCCCACTTCAGAGTGGCTGCTAGTCCCCTTCTTTTGTTTTTCTGCAGTAGTAACAGTGGAAGTGATGTAGGTCATGTAGTTAGACCTTGATTCAGAGACTACTTCACTCCTTGACTGTGAGGGCCTCCTTACATTTTGGCAGTACCTCGCATGAGCTTGGAGCTGCTTTTGTGTCCAGTCCTGGGCCCTTTAACATGGAAGCGTTTGAATGCTAAAATTTCTAAACAGAAATGCCTCCCGACAGCCAGAGGAGTCATTGCTTGGGACCAATGGATTCTTTGGTACAAGAAAGTGAACTTAGAGAAAATCTTTTGCCACATTTCCCATTAGCATGCACATATGCTGCTGCTCAAGCAAGGCATCAAAGTGCCGAGTTAATTCAAGCACTGCCTTCAGGCGCCTGAACAAGAAAAGGACAGCTGGTAGGGAAAGGAACTTCATTTTTTTTCAAGTTTCTCAAAGGAGATTGAAATAGGATCACTCTTCCAAGTGCAGTATTTCATGGGGCTTAGAAATGCTACTTTCTCTGCTTACACACTTGTCTCTTTCGGTGAAAATTTGTCTAGATTTTTTAGGAAGCCACATCAGTTAATTGAATCCTGTGAGAGTTGCGGGTTCTCCTGCTATCACCTATTAAAAACCCTTAATAGGTCCAGTCCCCAATCCAGTTTGTTTTAAGGTTCTCTCAGCAAGTATTTCTTTCCCTGACTACATCTGGACCTTTGAATTACAGGAAATGCCAAAATAAAGCATTTAGATACTATTTCTAAATATTTAAAAATGTGTTTTGCTACAAAAAGATGTCATGATGACTTCTGTTCCTCGCTGCCACCCCCAAATCTTGGGAGCAGCTGCACTGTCTCAGGTGAGGTCTGCATGCCACAAAACCCCACCTGCAAGCTTTCTCTGGCTTACAGTGGAAAGGTCTGAAAAGGTAGACTTTTTAAAAATAAATAAATAATGACCAATGAAGTAGTATCAAGTGTCTCACCTGAAAGGTATCAGAAATCTGCTTTTCCCAGTGGATCCTTTCCATAAATGCTGCATGAGGGAGATGCAGTTGACAAGAGAGGATGGCTAGTGGCCAGGATCCATTCAGAAACAGGCCTTTTCCATAAGATGAAAGAGAGACATCTCCCAAATGCACTGTTTTTAGATGGACTTGAATGTGCTGTGTCCAGAGCCAGGGGAGGGCAAAGTATCTCTGGAAGAAAGAGGTGTTGAGGTGGTTTTGAGACTGATGAGCATAGTGGCCTTTTCCCTCTGATTTTCTTCTCTAGGTAAATTTGATCACAGAGCCAATCCATGTAATGTCTTTGACAAATGTTTCTCTGCTCCAGGTTCAGTCACCGGTGGACTCAGCCACAATGTCACCAGTGGAAAGAACAGCTGCCTGGGTTCTGAATAATGGGCAGTATGAAGAAGTAGAGGAAGATACAGAACAAAATCAAGATGAAGCCAAGCATGCTGAGAAGGTAGATTTTAGTCTGCATGCATCTGCTTGATCGGTTTCCTCAGACCTTGAGCTTCCACTCGGCTCCTGCCCCATAGTAGCATGTTGAACTGTACTAACTATTATCACTGTGCCAAAACAAGGCTTTCAGACAGAGTTATTTCCCTCTCCAGTGTTATCCCCCTCATTCCAGTCCACAGGTAAGCCATTGCATGGTTTCTGACTGTGGGCCTACCAGGCTTCAAACTAGATCAAGATGGATGCAAAATGCATTGGAAACCTTGTGAAACACACCTGCAAATTAATGCCATATAGATCAATGCTTGCTGTTTGCTTCCTCATAAAATTAGTGCCACTTCAATGTTTTACATGATGTTTGCCTTTTAGTATTTTAAAGTAACACTATTGTTAGGGTATTCTAACATCTTCCTGTGTTTCACTGTTTGCTTACATTCTCGGTGATCATGAAGAGGAGCTCTGATTATTAGCCAGAGCATTGTGTAGTTCTGTGAAAGGACACAGTGGGCACCAGCTGTATGCAAATATGAACTCCTTGATCAGCAGCAGCCTTTATGCTCCGTCTGCCTTGGGTTGCACCTGATCCAGTGCCACTTGTTTAGATTATGCTTTAACCTCTATCTTTTATGAGAGCTGTATTTTTTTTAAATATGACTAGAGAAATATTTTGTCCACTGACAAAAGAGGCTCTTGTATTTATTTGTCAAGTCTGTTCACAGCAGTGATAGATGTTGCTCTCCAAAAGTAAACATACAGCTGCTACAATATGGACCCAATATAAAATGTAGAGTTTTAGGAATAATGAAAGGCCTGTAAAGGAAGAGTGAAATATATAGAGGGCTAATGTCACTGCCATAGGGCAAATTATTAGAAAAAATAGGTGGGGGAATAGAACTTGGGCCCCCAAGGGCTCTGTTTTGTATAGTGGGTTGCTGTGCTGTGCATTCACCTTTGGTTATGTGACTTCAAGTCTTAATTAGGTCATGAGAGAATTGAGTTGCTTGTATCCCAGAATTATCCAGAGTTCATGTGTGTTCACATCAGAAGATCTCTTACAGAAAGGTACAGATAGCTGCAGATTTTTGGGAGACTGTTGGGACTTGAATAGTTAGAAGTTAAGGGACTCAGAACTGAAATGCACTCGCAGAGTGATTTGGGTACCCAGGAGTGGAACTGCAGTAATAATGCAGGGCAGTATGAAGATACTTGAGTGTATAGGATCTGTCCACAACAGACCAGTCAGTTGTTACAATCCTTCCTGCTACTTCCTTCATTTTGGTGTTATTCAAGGAAAACAAAGCATACTCGGCAAAAAATATCTGACACTCCCTTTCCTATGTTCCTGTATCTTTTCCTTCCATGCAGTATGAGCAAGAGATAGCCAAGTTGAAGGAGCGTCTGAAGGTGTCGAGCCGCCGATTGGAGGAGTATGAGAGGCGCCTTCTGGTGCAGGAGCAGCAAATGCAGAAGCTACTGATGGAATACAAGGTGAGGCTGGAGGACAGTGAAGAGAGACTTCGCAGGCAACAGGAAGAGAAGGACAGCCAGATGAAGAGCATAATCAGCAGGTGAGAGGACAGGGCTCTTTTAAGAGATTTGTGTGCAAAGCATGGCATCCCAACAGAGCTGACAATAGGGGCCCATAATTTTGCATGCAAGCAGCTTCTTTCCTCATTTATGCCCCATAACACCTCTGTGAGGTTTGTATCATCCCTGTCCCAGATGGAAAAACTGAGACACAAACTAGTCCTTGATTGCATGGAAAGATGAGGGAAGGACCCAGCAGTACTGACTCAAATGTTTGCTGTACTCATTAGCTAATCCACACTATCTTGGAAAAGAAGTAGGAGGGCCTCCTTCTCAAGTGCAAGCTCCTAACACTGGAATTAGCAGACCTCTCCTTGTTCAAAGTTGTTGAACTTTGGCTCTGTCTCATGGCAACAGTTGAATTTAACCAACTAACATTAACAGAAGAGAAAATAGGCTGTCCTTGGTGCTGTAGAGTTTTCCCATTACAAAGGTAGTAGTAATGAGGAGCCACCTTGTCGTAAGTGCTCTGAAACTATACTAAGATTTTTCTGATTCCTTCCTACATCCCAGACTCATGGCAGTCGAAGAAGAACTGAAGAAGGATCATGCTGAGATGCAAGCAGTCATAGATGCAAAGCAGAAAATTATTGATGCGCAGGTAAGTACTTCTGGGTCTCCAAGAATGAAGCATTTTCTCTGGAAACTACTATTCCCTATCCTTGCAGCCAGTCCAGCTCGCATGACAGAAATTAGATACTTCTCCACCTTACAGTCTCATTCTGAAACCAACATCAACACATTCTTCTTGCCTATCTCATGGAGAGAATTCTGCTATTATCTAACAGATTTCAAAGCATTTAGCACTACTTTTAAAAACCTTCAAACCCACTGTATTACTGGGTTAATAAGGTCTTTTCAGATCATGCCTTACAGTAGGCAGACAAGGTTCTTTGGATAAATATGATATCTTTTATTAGACCAACTCAAATAGTTAGAAAAATTCTTCTTAGCAAGCTTTCAGGCACATACACCCTTCATCTGACTGAGGAAGCATCTGCAGGTGGTCGGTGCTCTTCCTGGGTGGAGTGATAAGGCAGCCAGAGGCCAGTATGTATGCAAGAAAGACAGTCAGTTAAAATGTAAATTGAGGTGGTCAAGTAGGTAAGACAGATGAGTGTGTGGGGAGTAGGGGGAATGAATGTAGCTGTAATCAACAGATGGGGGACAGGAGAGTTGGGGGGAAGGGAATGAGACTAGCTGGTAAAAAGTGGAGGGTTTACCTGGGGAGTCAGATGGTAGACAGATTATAATGTGTCATAAATCCAAAGTCTATATTTAGTCCCCTTTCATTCCCCCTCCCCTCACACACACACACACCTGTCTCTCACCTATAGACCACCTCAGCTTACATTTTGACTGACTTTCTTACATATGTACTGGCCTCTGATTGCTTTACCACTCCATCCAGGAAGAGTACAGACCATATGCAGATGCTTCCTCAGCCTGATGAAGGGTGTTTGTACCCGAAAGCTTACTAAGAAGAATTTTTCCAACTATTTGAGTTTGTCTAATAAAAGATATCAGATTTACCTAAAGAACCTTATCTACCTGTGTCCTTAGACCAACACGGTTACAACCTACACTGCCTTACAGTAGGAGCATTTTGCTGGTATAGAAATAGCAAAGCTGCACTTTGTACCAATATAGTAAAACTGTCCCACCTGCACCCCCAACAAAACAAGCTGTACTGGTTCTGTCAGTTTTGTCAGTGGATCAGTAAGAAAGAAGCAATCAATCTATGAAGCTATGCAGCGAGCTCTTGGAGTAGAGCACTGCGTAGTATGCTTCTAGTGCTTGGCATTTGACTTCAGCTGACTGTGTCTGTAGTCAGTCTTAGAGAAATGCCTGCTGTGCCACAAAATGCAAGCGCTTGCTTTGGCTGATACAGGTTAGCTGTGGAACAAGTGGGTGATGCATGTAGATGTGTATAATGCAGTTCTGCTTCTCTGGTCTTTGGACGTACTGCTTGGAATTGGTTTGGCTTCCCTTCTTTATCTGTACTCATTCAGGAGAAATGTAGCTTACACAATAAAATATACAATTGGTTTGATCTCTGCCTGCTGCATCATGTTTGTGAGACTGTAATACTCCCCTTGCACTCAGAGCGTAGAAATCTTTCCTGCGTCTGTGCTTTTTAATGGTTAATGTCACTTCCTGTTTATATTTTTTAAAGATGATACACATAACAGCAGTCTCCAAGGCAGTTTCAGAGTCATTTCATTTCGCACAGGCTGGGAAGTGCCAGAGGTCTTAGCTGCAGTAGGGATTTATCTACAGGTTTACAGAAGATAATGCATTAAATTGAGCCAGCTATGCCATGTTAAAGGTTTGAATGAGGGCATGGGTTAGCCATTTGTTGCCTTTCTGTATAGGCAACCATAACAAGACCTCTGAATTGTATGTGCTGTGTGGGCCCTTAGGGAAATCGTGCAGTGAAAAGTGTCCATTGAACACTTCATAGCATGTTCTTCAGGAGGTCGTGTTTTGAGATTTGGAAAAGTTTTAGACTTTGAGAAGAAACATTTATATTTGCTGTCCTTTTGCACATTTTCTTATAGCTACGCTTTCAGTGATGGAGGCCTTAACAGCTGGAGAGTTTCGATCCAAGCCATCTATTCTGAACAAATCACTTGAGTAAAATACCTTAGTCCTTGCATTGTTTTGCACTTTCAGATATTTAATCCTGTGAGATAAGAAGAACATCCTGCTGGAATTGCACTGTGCATAGTCCCATTTTAAAAGGATATGTCAGAATAGTGTAAGTCACCCTCTTGTGATGCAGCTCAGGTTGAAATCCTTTCCATGTGAACTGATGCTAGGGAGAGGTGAGTCTGGAAAATATGAGAGGCTTATCCTTCACCCAGATGGAGAATTGTTACTGTCAGTTTAAGGTGGAGGTAGGAGGTGAACGAAATAGGCTGTGTTTTATACTTGAGTGTAGACTCGGGATCTCACTCTTCCAAACTGATAGAGCTGAATCATGTCCAGAAGGCAGGCTGTTAGATTTCAGAGGAAATATGATGTATTTTCTGAGTATCCCCTGCCAACTGTCTCACAGTTATTCTTCTTAGAAGGGGCCAGTTACTGGCTCTTATTTACTCAGCAGAAGGTTGCAATGATAAATGACCTGTAAAGTGGTGTGAACAGCCTTTATAGATGGTCTTTGAAGATAACAGAGAATCCCTTATAGACTGAGAACTTGCTTTGAGAATTCAGCTAAACATGATGTAGGAATGTGTGCTGGGCACAGAGGGTTGGGACACTGTAATAAATCCATAGAAATTGATTTGCGGGGGCAGGCAGGGATTGACTTCAGATTCAGCATGATTGGTTATGCTTGTGCAGAGAGCTCCTGTTCATGTCTCTGCGCATCTGCGTAGCTTCTCTTCCTCTGTGGCATACTATGAATGTTTCTGAAGCAATATGATGGAAACCAGAGAAGTCTGATTCCTTGGTGTTACCAGGTGGAGGAAAGTATTGTTGGTTAATGAAAACTTGATCCCTCATTGCTGAAGAGATGTAATGCTTCCAAAAGTATGAATACATGTTTTTTGAGATCATCCCTAGCCATGCTGCAAGACACCTTTCATAGTAGTAAAATGAAGAAAAACATGTTTCCCTTTAGATCTAATTGTTCCCTCAACTCCCATGTGTGGAAAGCTGGCCTTAATTCTGCTACTTTGCCTCCTGCTCACTAAGTCCTCAAGAGTTGGGGAGTGCTAAAGAGAGAGCTCAAATCAGGTTTGGAAGAGTGAGTTCAAGCTCACAGAACCCTTACTGACTAATCAGTATCAGTAGCCATAATCCTTTCCGTTTGTTCATGTGCTTTAGTGACCATTGTGGAAGGCCTTTTCTAGGCATTTGAGCGGAACGGGGACATGAGTGGGAGACTCAGGGCTCTGTTCGCCAAAAACACAACTATCTGAGGAAGCAGAGTTCCTTTGTAGGAAAAGGCCATCAAACTGATGGTTGGTTTTAAATTATGCATAGAAGGCAGATTATTCTCAGCACGTGATTTATTGGGAGGCCAGGTATCTTTGTGTCTTGAGATCAATGGAAGAGTAATTGATCCTAGCTTCTTGGGCTCATTTTGAAGGCGACAGTGAGTGCTAGGGAGTAGTGGTGATTTTGGCTTCTTGTGCTCAGTTACTTCACTACAGAATGCTTTGTAGGAATGACTTGCTTGTCCTGGGTTTTAGGACATGGCATCCATTATTAAGCTGTGCACAGTGATAGCCTCGTTGTTAAACTGAGTATGCACTTTTCTCAAATTGTTCCTGTATAATGTTAGTGAGTTGTGAATCCGAAGGCTCTTATCCATGCTTCCCAGACTGAGAAAAGAGAGGTCTGGATGTTGGTAACTTTCCCTGAGAATGGCGGAGCTACGGAGTGTGCTGGCTCTATTCCTATTGCAAGTGACGTCTCCGCTGTGTTAAATTACAGGTCATAAATGGGGATGAGATAATTCAAACAGGCAAGTAAACCCAATCAGTTCTCTAGCTGAGCAGTACCCAGCCCTGGCCAAGTGCACTGACCTCCTACACATTCCAGCTCCTACCACTCCCCACACTGAATTCATATACGTTAGAAATACATGTACCTGTTTGGATGGCATTTTCCTTTGAGCAAGGAGGGTGCATCTCCTGACCAAGCTCAGGCCTTCAAGATAAATTTTTCAGATGTAGGTGTTTAATTGCTCTATAACTTTAGGTATTGAACATACTTAGTCAGCGCCAGGGAACACCCCAGCCTTCCATTTTTTACCTCTTTATATGTCCAAATTCTCTGATCAGAAATTTTTAATTCTACAAATAAGGTAGGAGAGTGTCAGTCAGAAGAGGGTATAATGCCCCAGGGAATAGATCTCTGCTAAGGCCATGTATTTTTCTTTTTTTATTTTGCCATGGGAGGAAAGGCCAAGAGTTAGTCACAGTTCCTTCCCCTCTCCATTTTAACCAGGAATATGGGTATGATACAACCATATGGGTGGTTGTCCTGACCATGCACAAGGCTGTTACACACGCAACACTTAAACTCTGCTTTGCTTTGGGTTTCCCTGTCTTTATTTACCTGGGGAAACCCCCTAGGAAGAGCAAACCGACTCCCTTTTTGCGTATGTACCCTATAGCTGACATGCTGAGAACCAAACCACATGGGCCTGTAGTAGCACAGATGTCTCCTGAGCAATGTGTCTGAATTATCCCTTAATGTTTGTGCCTTGTGTACATCATTTTTCCTTCCTTTGGTTCTCAGTGGATTGGGGTGGGCTGGATAGAGCCCCTACATTCAGCTTTAAAAAAAAAGAACCATAAAACCTAGGTCTGTCTTCTTTAAAAAAGAATAACCAACCAGCTGGCAGCACTGAGAGCATGCTTACCTGCTGCAGGGCCTGTTGTTGCTTTGTACGGCTGCATTCTTAAAAGGTAAAGGACAAAACTGCAAGCAAGCTACTTGTACCTGAAATCCCTTGGCTTGGATCCCCCAACCACAGCATCCCACTACAGACAGTGCATTTTGGGTGTATTTTTCTATTTATTTAGTGCATTCACTTGTCCTTTAGTTTTTATTTTCTTCATAAAAGTGGAGGCTAGCACTTTGGGCCAGAAGAATTAAAACCAGAATGACAGAACTTTTGATTTCTGTGGAGTCCTGGAGCAACTCTGAGCTGGAATGGGTCTAGGAGCAGTGTCTTTCAATGTTTGTTTCTTGTGTTTTTGTTAATGGCATCCCCCTCACTCACCCACGTTTCCCTCTTACCCCTCACCCCAAATAACCCTTTAGTTTTAGCTTTTGGCTGCTTCTTTCCTATGTTGCTGCTGCATCCGTGCCCCTGCTGGTGACTGCAGGCTGTCATTATTTGCCATTTTAATTTCAGCCATCCTGTGAGTTCATTCTGTGTACTCTCCATGCAGTCTTCAGATGAAGACAGTGGCCCTCAGGTGCCACCTGCACTTTCTGCTACAAAATGAAACTTCCCAGCACTTATTTTTCTGGTGCCTGTTTCTGTTTTCCAAAGTTACCCAAAAAAACTCCCAAACAAACGAAGCCAAAAAGCTCTGCACCTTCATCTGTTTCAGGAGAGGGTGCTTTGGTGAAAATGCTGAAATGCAACCAAGTGTAATACTAATAAGTGTAATGCAGAGAAACTAGAGAGACCAAACTGGGGAGCAGTGCATCTGTGGTGAACTGGGGAAACAGTATTGCAAGAAAACAGAAAGAGGCAAAGACATCCCATTTTACTGGAGAATGTTGGTAATGTTGGCTCTGTCTAAAAAGCTTCTGAAGACTTGATCGCAGCCCTAGCCTATGAAAGTTCCTGACAAAGAAAAGGTTAAAGAAGTGCTTTGCTGCGTAGAATGGCTCTGATGTGTGGTGTTTTTGTTACAGGAGAAACGGATTGTGTCCCTGGACTCGGCCAACACTCGGCTGATGAGCGCCCTGACACAGGTCAAGGAGCGCTACAGCATGCAGGTCCGCAATGGCATCTCCCCCACCAACCCCACCAAGCTTTCCATCACGGAGAATGGTGAATTCAAAAACAGCAGCTGCTAACCGGGTGGATGCTGCTGGCCATCTCCTCGGGGCAGAGCAGGAAGAAGCAGACTGAAGAAACCTGAATGCAGACCCCCGTTGATTTACAGAATGCTGCTAAAAGATAAACTGTCAAGTGGGGTAGAAAAGCCTACCTTTCAGACTAGGAGAATAGGGCTCCAAGGGCCAGGGCCCTCAGGATTGCTGTGTATATACATAAGGAACCTGTTCCAGGCCACATGTACAGAGAATGCCACTGTAATATACCAAAAGGAAGTGAATACTGTAGATTGTTTTTAATTATTGCAATTTTTATTATTATTTTTCTCTTGTTGAAAGCACTGCAGTCCTCAGAGGGGGAGGAGGGGAATGTGTGTATGTGTGGTGTGGCAGAGAAAGAAAAAACAAGAGAGATGAGCAGTGGGTTATTTTGAAGCTGTACATATCAGGCTGACTGATGCAAGCACATGGAGCGAAGTGAAATACTAGTTAAATGAATGTATGAGAGGCTCTGTTTTAACCCCCTCCTTCCCGGTCCTTATTTAACCAACTTCAAACTCCACACCCAGCCTCTTGCAAGAGGGTTGGATCCTGTTGGCTTCTGTCAGCTCTTGCTAGGATATGGACAAAAAGCTGTTTCAAAGTCTCTTTGAAAGCTCTAATTAGAAACTGGAGCAAGAAGCCTGTTTCTTTACACCTGCCCAAAGCCAGGCTTCCCGTCCAAGAGACAAAGGGAATTTGCAGTTTTAAAGGTAGGAATTTTTTTTACCTAAATTATAGTAAGGTTTGACTTTTTTTCCTCTTTTTTTTTTTTTTAAGAGTTTATAGAACTGTAAATACTTGTGTTTTCAAACTTTGGTCCAATTCCCAGCGTATGTGCAGCCCATTGTCTCAGTGCAGTAGCACTCCAGATTAGTTACCCACACCCCACCAGAAACAATCAGGTTAGTACTCCAGGGAAAGGGCTAACCAAAGGGCACTCGTGCCCTGTGCAATAGATCTGTGAACGCAGAGTGAAACTTTTCTAGTTTATTTTTGTACCTTTTTGTCTTGTTCAATTTCACTGTTCCATCCACAGGGTTATCAGACTTAGCTCCACCAAGGTGGTTTCTGCATGTTTGTTAAAATTTCCATGCCCCAATGGAAATTGACTGTTATTATTTAAGTCCTGACCTTATCCACTTTTTCTCTAAGTGAATTTTAACTGAGCCCCACCTGTAACGTTTGGTTTGTTTCTCACACGAGCAGACTTTTACAGGATGTACTTGAATACCTAAAATTAAATAATGAGCTCATTGTTGGGAGGAAGATAGTGATGTTTCACACACTGTAAAAGACCAACAGTAAGATCCGCAGTGTTGCCAGTTCTCATGGTTTTACTGAATATCTCTGTAATATTTGTTGAGTCTCATAAAGCCCCAGCTTCTGGAGTCAAGTGATGTATGAGAATCTCTCCCCTTCCACTTCATTAAAAAAAATGTTTTTTAAGGCTCTTGTTAGTGTTGAAAAGCATGAGAATGTTAACCTTAAAGGTTTAAATCAGGAAGCAAATAAAGGGAACCCAAAGCTAGTTCAAATTAGAAATAGAGGCAAATACTTTTTTAACAGAGACCATTAGAACAAATCCAAGGAATGATAGGCACTGCCTTCTCTTGATGTCTTCAGGTCAAGACTAAATGCCTTTCTGGAATATATGCATCAAATTTGCTTTCCTGATTTACAGATATGCTTTAATTGAATCAAAGGTAGTAGGCTCAATGCAGATGATAATTGGGTGAAAGGTGGTGGCCTGTTACAAAGAAGTCAGGCTAGATGATCTCAAGTCATTTCTTCTTGCCTATAAACTTTGATGGCACATTGCTACAAGCAGGAACGTGCGTTCCCTGGGGACAACTAGCTGTGGCACATATTTGTGCCACAGCTAGTTGTCCCCAGGGAACATGCCAGCGTGCACATTCTCGTGTGCGGCAAGCTGTCCTGGGTGGGGCAGGAGAGGCTGGTGTCCACACCTGGGCTGGCCCCAGCACCCTTTTCTGGGGCCCTCCCAGGGCTCCAACAGCAGCAATCCAGGCACGCAGAGCCTGGATGGCAGCCAAAGTATGGCTCTGGGCAGCCAGGCTCTGGTTTGGGGAATGCACACTGCTGCCATGTGCACCACCTTTTGACACCAGGATCTCCTGGTGTCAAAAAACCTGCTGTGCTGCAGATTAGCAGCACACTGAACACCTGCATGCGTGTCGCATGCAGTTTGCAGCACCGCAGACAGGTTCTGAGTGTGCAAAAATGTATCATTTTAAATATCTTGGGATTTTTGAGTCGTTCTCATGACCTTTGGGTCATGCCTTTTTGAATGTCAGGGTTTGGCAATATGAATGAGTCAAATTCATTGTCTGTTGTTCAAGTCTGTTTGCTGTTTTGAAATGAATTTGCCTAGCCTTTTAGGCCAGTTTGTTGTAGAGCACGATATTTTAACTGTGTTACCTTCTTTATTGTGAGTTAAGATAATTCCATTAAACATATACACACACCTATATATCTATGTATATAACCAACTATGCACAAATACAGAAAGAGACCACATCTGCTCTGTAGGACATATAAGGTAAAAGTGTATGAATATCTCTCAGCAGTTGGCAGTTGCTTCTATTGAGAGATCGAAAACTCACCTGAAGTAAATAGGAATTTGTTCTTAAGGTTTTAATGTTCTTTTGGATCAAAGCTGCTTTCTCCTTCTGTTTCTCAAACATGGTTTGTACCAAGGGTTAAGGAGCAAGGAGAGGGTCTGCCTAGTTTTCTTGAAGGGGCACAGCAACATTTTTGAAGTTTTATGCACTTCTGGGGCCACATACTGAAAATACTCAGTAGAAATTTAAAGAACAAAATCACTTTCCTAATGAAGTCTTCCAACTCTGGGTCATTCTGACCCCTAATACCTTCTCCTTTGGTTAACTAACTGTGCCTTTCAATCCCTTCTTCTTTCCCTCTTCTTCCACATGTACCAAGACTATAGGCGCAGTATCAGTTGTGGATCAATTTGTCTAGTGTGAGTACTTCTCATTTTTATAAAATGCCACTGTCCATTAAAACTCCTTTTGTCTTAGCATTTCTGTGTGGCTGCAGGCAGCTTTCATGCCTACCCCTTTATTATGTGGCTGCACTCACTTTCAGTGAAGCTAACAATAATTACCTCAGATTATATTCACCCAGCTGTGCTATGCAAAGTCTTTCCCAAAAGCAGCTCTGTAGATGGGTGTGCGTTTTAATCATATGTTATGTAAAACATGGGAAGTGGATGATCTGTTACTCTGAGGTTTCTCCTAAATTAGCTGTTGAACACACTACCTAGGGATTACTTTCTGTGCATTACAAGAAATACGAGGAAGAAGAAATACATATGGAAATACAGGCTTCTACCAAAATATTTTAGCAGAGTTAGACTAATGCTGCTTAGAGAAAGGCATCTGCTCAGAGCTCACTGTAGCTTTGTGATAATCCACTAAAGGTCACTGGCTGAGCTGTGTGGTTAGACACTGAAGGCCTTTGGGAATCCACTTTGGCTTCTGCAGAGAAATGTAATAGGAACAGTTTCTTTTAGCGCATTTCCTAGGGTTGCTTTTAAATAAAGCAGGTCCTGCTTTCTAAAGGGGAAATCCTAGCTGCTGTAAGGTGATTGCTTTATGATTGCAAGTGGCATGAATAACATAGATGGATAAATGCATATCCTCCTGTACATGCTTAAGCTGTCAGCCTGGATAAGGCAGATATTTAAGGGTCAGACCTGAAGCATCACCATCACCGCTTGTCACTGTGCTGGTTTTAATCTCCCTGCTCTGAGATACAAAATGCTGGTCTCTCCCTCTATACAGCAGAAAATGTCTTTCTACCTGCAAGGGGGGCAAAAGTCACAGTTTCACAATATTGTTAGGTCAAAGCTGAGAAGCCATGAAGCACAGCATTAGGCTCCCATGGTCTGTGGGCAGGCATTGTTCCCAGTTTGTTACTCAGCAGATGTCTAGAGATTTGTTTTATCTCTCTGTGAAGCCTGTGGCATGTAAAATCACAAGCTTCTATTTTGTACAGTTTGATAGATGGTAGCAAGTAAAACCTCAGGAGCCATTTTAACGTTACTGAGACAACAGAATACCTGGGCCTAGCCAGGCTTCAGTTTTCAGAGTAACAGCCAATGAGTTTCTGCAGGAATGAGAGGAGAAGTAAAACAAAATCTGATGAACTTCATAACCTGCCAGGGGTTTAGTTAGTACGTATGCAGTTGCCTAAACTCAGCAGCTTGTGCAAAATGCCACCGCAGGAGGCTGACCACCTCAATTTGAGGACAGCTGAGATAATGCAGGAAGGATTTAGAGGTCTCTAATAGCCATCTCTTTTTATGCCCAACTTTGTGCTACTTCTCTGACTGTGCCTGTGTTGGGAGATGTCAAGGCAGGACTGCAAAGGGAAAAGGAAAGGAAGGATTTGTTTTCTAAGTCACTCTTACCCTGGAGCCATTCATTTCTTATTGAACAGTCCTTTAATTTCTAGGCATGGTGCCTGCAATCTAATTCTTCAAGTCTCTACCCAAACCTGTAGCTGTCAAGCTCTTCACAATGTCTAATTCCCTTTTCTTCATCTGAGCTGTAATCAGTGAGAGAGGAGGGTTTGCAATGTTCTTTGCTCAAAATTTACTACAATTACAAATAAGGCCTCAGCAAATCACCTACATCTTTGTGGCCAGCCACTGCCTTTGTGGTTGGGCTGCTGTTTCTCTCTTTGCCTTAGCCAGGGACACAATGGAAAAACTGTATGCATCACTGTATGAAGGAGCTAGCCACAGGCTTGGGGACTTGCCACTCTCTGGCCATGCCCGTGACTACTGCTTTATGATGATCCCTCTAAAAAAGCAGATTAGTTGAAAGGGACTTTCCTATGCTGGCTGGTTGGGTTTCTGAATTTTAAATAAAAGTTTTCAGCTCTGCAGTGTTGGAGTGAAGTCCCATGTTGCCTGCTGCCAAATTCGGAATGTTTTATGAAGAGTTTGAGGAGGACAGAAGTAATTTCACTGGCAAGAGGTGTGCAGTAAATACCTTGGGAGCAGAGGAGGAGCACATGGCGTAAATCTGGCCCCATGTATGTACCCTTTTGCAACCCAAGGAATTTGGGTCCTAAAGAAGGAAAAGGGGTAGAAGCTAAATTCAGTAAGCAGCTACAGTTTTCTCTTCAGTGTATAGAAATGGGTAGCCATAGATGTGTGTGTGTACATGTATGTAAATGCACACAGCTGCATAGAGCTGCATGTTTCACAGCACTCCTCTTAGAAATGCTTTCTCTCTTCATAGAGAATCCAGAGTAGCGTTGAGAGAGCTGTGCATATTTCCTAGCCCCTGAATATAGTACCCAGAGTTTAGACATGCTCTATATTCAGGCATCCAGCCATCTCATAAATGATTTATTTATTTTCACATTCTATTGCTCGCTTAAACCACCGGCTTTTCACTTTGTCTGGAATCTCATTGGTTGTGCAGTGATTTAACAGTGGTGTATGTTAGTGGTATTCATCTGCTAGGGTCACCAATGCCATGTATGTGTGAATCCTGTATTAGTGTTATGGAAAGATGTCTGCATCACTCCTGGGGAACAATTCATGTCTTTGTCCAACCGATACATGTATATTTATATTACTAATTATCATTTACCAAGTAGGATATAATCTGGCCAGTCACTGCTATCCACCTGAGTGTTTAACAGACTTAAAGGGTTAAAATTAGGGTGATGCGTTTAGACATGTCCTTCCCTACATTAAATTAATTCCCATGAGAGAGAGCATGTCATTACAAATCACTCCTGCCAGGAATCCTACCTGTAAAAATAGATTTTTCTGTCTCAAGGGCCTTAATGAGAGTGTTACTACACAGGACTATTTTACAATGATAGCTCTAAATAATTTATTTTTTATTTCAACAAAATACACCTTAAAAAGTACTAAAATTGTTTTTTTCAGAAACATATTTTTATGCTAGTAGCACTGGACTATTTGGTCTCTGAGATCCATCTCTGCATTTCATTGCCTGGGTTCATTTTAAAGAAGATTTATTTTTGTTCTGTGAATAATTTTTGAAGGTTCTTGTATATGTACAGATATAGATACATTTGAAGTCTTTTATTGATATTCCTACAAAGAATACAAATAAACTTTAACTTTAAAAAGCTTGGAGTTCATGCATGTGGCACTGATTTAGTATCTTACTGCTGGAAGATTATACGTGAGTTCTGAAACCTGAGCGGTGGAAGGAAATGTGCAAACTTGCACAGTATAACCTGACATCTGGCATGGTTTGTAGTGTGACTTCTTGAGTTACCTATGTGAACTGCTGCTTTTATGAGACGTGGCAGGGACTAAGGTGGCCTGTGACAGAAAAAAATGACTCTGATCAAAAATTGGACTTGGAAGCTACAGCTGAGTGAGCAAATCCCAAACTGTCTGTCACTTGCATCTCTCCGCTGCTCACTGTTAGAGAGATGTGGCACTAGAACGCCACTCGCTGCTCCTGGTTTGGGATTTCGGTGCTCTGTGTGGCCTCCATTCAAAAGCTTATTCCACTTGCTCAGGTCTTCCTTGTCTAGTAACCTGTCCTGGCTTCTAAATCTTCTCACCCACGAGGAACTGTCCTGCTAAGCAATGTGGAGAGAAAGGGTGACACTCTGTGGTCACATGGAGAAGTGCTGTCTACTCACACAAGCTTTTTAATCATTTTCCTTTCTGAGAGTTAAAAGGCCACACAGTCTGAAATTGTATCTTTTAAAAAATGGATTCCCTTTCTTATATTACTAATTAGGTCATGAGAATCAGATGTTAGAGATTCTGTTTACTTTGCATTCATTTGTGCATTTTTTGCACCTTGAACCATGAAAATAGTCTGCTCAGTTTTCCTTGTACATACTTGGTTTGTAGTTGTGAAGTTCTAATGCACAAACACAAAGCAGTTTGCAAGGTGCAGGCACCCGAAAGAAATGTTCCTTCATAGGCTAACAAAATATTTGGCCATTGGTGATGCTGTATGTATCATTCCACAAATGCATGAATTAAGAGAATGAACAAAAACTACACAGTACAATCTTCCTGTCTTTGAATTTGTTTTATTTCCATTGGTGTGTAAGTTTTAAATTAACATTTTAGATGCGGGTTCTAGAGGTCTTGGAGCCTGCATAATGCACAGGCAACTACTAGATGCAACTTTACTTTTCTCTTTCCTCTCACCACCTGGACCCTGTGTTGTTCTACACATCAGGTGTGCCTTAGCTTTATTTAGCCTGTAAGCTCTCTTGTAATATGACTGCATAGTACCCAAAACAATGGGATTTATGGGTATTGGAACAACACAAATATTTTTTTTTAAAGTGTGATGGTTTGCCAGTACTTCTGATGCAAGATTTCTTTGTTTAAAAAGGGTAAATTTGTATTGAGAATTGTGTGTCCATGTCCTCCACAAGTCTTCATTGAATCTTCCTGAACTTGCTAGATACGAAGTTTTTAGACCAGGTTTTGAAAGCAGTGATAATTAGAGAGCAAGACAGTGAAGAGAATGTGGGACAACAGGCAAGAAGGTTTTACTAAAAATAGATTATCAAACTAACCTGGTAGCATCCTTTGAAAACTGATTCCCTAGTGGAAGGGAATATAGCAGGTCTCATCTCTCTCAGTTTCAGTAAAGGATTTAATATGGTGCCACCTGGGAAATTTAATGAAGCTGCAGAAGATGGAACTGGTTATAGGAATATTAAGGTGTTGGTACACAGCTGGATAAGGGAGAAAGTAAAGGGCTGTATTCCAAGTAGAAGCATTAGGCTGGAAGGAGGTTACTAGTGAGCTCCTCGAGGGTCAATCTTTGGTCCAATCCTGATAGACTTATTAATGATCTTGGCACAAAAAGCAGCAGTGTGCTGATGCAATCTGCTGATCACTCCAATTCAGGAGGCATTATCAAAATCGAAGAAGCTTATTGGGGTGTCATACAGGTAGAGGTGGAGTGGAGTAAGAGAAATAGTTTCATAGTTTCTAGGGTCGGAAGGGACCTGAGCAGATCATCTAGTCCGACCCCCTGCCATGGCAGGAAGAGCACTGGGGTCAAACGACCCCAGTAAGGTGGTCATCCAACCTCCTCTTAAAAACCCCCAGGGTGGGAGCCTGCACCACCTCACTTGGAAGCTGGTTCCAGACCCTAGCCGCCCTGAC